CTGCAGAACGGAAGGACAGCAACTTGTCTGTTCCCCTCCCCCAATTCCCCAATAAAATCTTAAAAAAATAATAATAATTCTGATATCTACCTCACATCACACGCACCCACAAAAATCAACTCCAGGCAGACAGTAGACCAAGATGAGAAAGGTAAAACAATAAAGCTACCAAACAAAACACAGAGGGACACCTTCATGACCTCGGAGCAGGCAAATAGTTCTTCTACAGGACTAGCCATAAAAGGTAAAGACTGGTGAATTATGCTACATAAAATAAAGAACTTCTAAGCATTAGAAAACAGCGTTAGGTAAAAGGGTAAAAAGGATAGTCATCAAGCAGAAGGTATTTGCAGTACATATATCTATCTGGCAAGGGACTTATAGCAGAATATATAATAAACTTACCTATCAATAAAAAAATGGCATAGAACAGAAAATAGGTAAAAGACTTGAATAGCACTTCACAAAAGATGATATACAAATGGCCAATAAGCATATGAAGAGGTGCTCAACCTCACTTTTCATTAAGAAAATGCAAGTTAAAACAACAATAAGATGCCACTATACAACCATCTGGCTAAAATTAAACAAATAGAGAAACAAACAGCCATCGAGTTCTGCTGAGGAGAAGCAGCAGCCAGAACACACTCATGCTGGTAGAAGTATAAACTGCTACAAGCACTTTGGAAAACTGTTTATTAAACTATTCATTAAAGTTGAACATATAATAGATCTTATGACCCAGCAATTTGATTCCTTGGTATTCACCCAATGAAATGCATACATTACATTCAACAAAAGACCTATACAAGGATATTCATAGTAGCCCTATTTGTATTAGCCAGATGAAGACAACTGAAAAGAACCCAAATGTCCATCAATAGTAAAATGGATAAATATACAATGGTATATTCATATAATGGAATATTATACAGCAATGAAAATGAATAAACCACTGCTATATGTAATGACATGAGTGACTCACACAAAGATATGATTTACTGTAGAATTCCGTTTATATAAAGTTCCAGAAAAGATAAAATTTACCTATAGTGTTAGAAGTCAGGTTAGTGGCTACCTTTGGGGAGGGGGAGAAACTGAGAAGGGTCAGGAGGGATCTCCTGGGAGTGCTGGTGGTATTCTACTTTCTGATCTGGGTGATAGTTTACAAAGGTGTATTCATTTTGTGAACATTCATTGAGCTGTACACTGGAGATCTGCAATGACGGGCAAATCCTCTTTATATGCTCTTTCAACAAATGATGAGCTATCTCCGAGTCTAAGTAGAAAGAAAAGCATTCAAGATACTATATGGAATGCGCTGGAGAGACAACCGAAGGCTTCACTTTCTGGGGCAGTACAAATTACCTGCCCAAGCTAAGTTCTTCATCTCCTGATTCTAAATATGGCCTTTTTCTGTAAAATCAGACTGAGCCTCTAACAAATTCTTGTGCAGTGTAGTCACTCTTCCCCTTTTCACCCATTTGCAAAGAAATAACAGCCTGTACCAACCTCTCAAGAGACACTGAAAATTCCCAACTGTTACAGAAGTAAAACCTGGACCTATTTTCTTATTTAATTGTAAAGTTAATAATAACAGCCCAGAAACATTATAAAAACAAAACAAAACAAAAAACCCTCCTAATATGAACCAAATTATTCTATCACTTTGATCTTTTTTATTCCAAACTTCTTCCAATATACATTTTTAACATGATTGCAACTGTGATTGCACATAGAATTGTGTGGTCTCTTTCTTATTTCAACATTATGTCAGAAAATTTTCCAGACTACAACATGATATTTTAAAACCACTATTTTTTTTAACAACCATATAATATCTTAACAAATAGATGTTCCACAATTTACTTAGCTCCAATCTTAAGTATTCAGGTTTTTCTGATTTTCTATCATTATAAACCATGGTGTAATGGGCTGCTTTTTCAAGTAGCTTTTTCAACATTTCAAATTATTTCCTGAGGCTGGATTCCCAGGTGGAAGGGAATGAACATATTCATGGCTTTAGATATATATTCTTTGTCCACTATTTGGTTTTCTTTTGAACACGTTGATTATTTTAAAATAAAATTCTAATAAATTCTGCATACTAAATTACTTAAGACTTATAATCCATTCACTTCCAAGAAAACTTGAGATGGCTTATATAATAGACATATAAATATGAGTAATAAAAATAACATGAATTGGAATAATAAAGTGAACACACAGCCAACTAAATCAGGGATGGGTAAACTACAGCCCACCACCTCTTTTTGTAAATAAAGTTAAAGTGGATCACAGCTATGCCCACTCATTTATGTGTTGTCTATGGCTGCTTTCATGTTGTAATGGCAGAGCTGAGTAGTTGCAACAGAGACTATATGGCCAGCAAAGCCTAAAACATATGCTATCTGGCTTTCACAGAAAAAGCTTACCACTCCTTGAACTAAACTATCCATGCTTATAGACTTTAAGCTTAAAGTGCAAAATGCTGCATATATTCTTTTGTCAACTTCCATTTCTGGCCCAGATGGAGCAATGATGACCTGATTTACTCTCCCACCAGAAACAACAACAACAAAAGCAGACAAGAATATGAAACAATGATTTTCAAGTCAATGAGCGTCAGGTAATGAAGGACAGCGATCGGCAAGGCTATAGTAGACTTGAACTATCCAGCAACTGAACCTGTAGTTGACATTTATAGAGCATTCCATCCAACAGATTACACATTATTTTTAAGGGTACACAGAACATTTACCAAGATAGACCATAATTGAAACCACAAAACAAATCTCAATAAATTTAAAAAGGGTTCAAGTCATCCAAGGTATATTCTTTGGCCACAATGGAAATTGGAAATCCCTAACAAAAATATCTGTAAAGTCCCTAAATTTCTGGAAACTAAATAATAGGTTACTAAATAACTCAAAAGGTAAATTAGAAAGTATTTTAAAGTGAATGAAAATGAAAGTACAACATATCATAACTTGTGGGATGTTACTTAATCAGAACTTACAGGGGAAATTTATACATAAAATGCCTATAAAAATGGGGAAAAGTCTCAAAAAAAAAAAGACGTCAGTTTCAACCTTAAGTAACTAGCAAAATAATAGTAAATCAATCCCAATGCAAACAGAAGAAAAATAATAAAGATCAAAGTGAACTCAATGAAATAGAAAACAGAAAAACAGAAAAAAATCTATGAAAGCTGATTCTTTGACAGCAATAAAACCAATAAACATCTAGGCAAACTGATCAGGAAAAAGAGAGAAGACAAAAATTACCAATATCAGGAATGACAGAGGTAACTAACCTACAGATTTTACTGATAGAAAAGGATGGTAAAGGAATACTATGAATAACTTTATGCCTATAAATTCAACAACTTAGATGAAATGGACAAAATCCTTGAAAAAGCAAAAGTATTAAAGCTCATTCAAGAAACAGATAACCTGAATAGCCCTATATGTATTAGGGAAATATAAATTTTAGTTTAAAAGTATTCTTATAAAGAAAACTCTAGGTCCAGATGGCTTCACTGGTGAATTCTACAAAATATTAAAAAAAAAAAATGCCAGGCCGGCTGAGTGGCTCAGTTGGTTAAGAGCTCAAGCTCTGAGCAACAGGTTCACCAGTTCAATTCCCACATGGGCCAGTGAGCTGCACCCGAGCTGAGCTGTTGCTGAGCTGCCAACAAGTGGCAGGATGGCTCAGCTGATGAGAGCATGTGCTCCTAAAAACAAGGTTGCTGGTTCGACTCCCGCATGGGATGGTGGGCTACATCCACCCGCAACTAAGAATGAACACGGCACCTTGAGTTGAGCGGCCATGAGCTGCCGACGGGCGGCCGGATGGCGACTGGACTTGGAGCTGAGTTAGTTGCACCCTCCACAACTAAGATTCAAGTACAACAACTTGGCTGTTCCCCTTCCCCAATTCCCCAATAAAATCTTTAAAACAAAACAAAACAAAAATGCCAGTACTACACATACTCTTCCAGAAAAATTGAAGAAAAGGAAATACTTCCCAATTCATTCTATAAAGGCAATGTTACCCTGATAGCAAAACCAGGCAAATATATTACAAGAAAATTGCAGATCAATATCCCTCATGAACACAAATGCATAAAACAAAAAAAATTTCTAAACAAAATTTTAGCAAATTGAATTTAATAATATATATACAGAATATTGCGGCACAACCAAGTAAAGATTATCCCAGGAATCCAAGGCTGGTTTAACAACTAAAAACCAGTCAAGTCCTAGGTCCATGGACTTAAAGAACTGCAGAGCTGGAAAAGACCTTAGAGATCACCAACCTGAAACCCTCTGTTTTATAGATGAAGAAACAAGGTCCACAGAGCCAAGATCACATAACTGTTAGTAGTTAGGTTTTAACTACCTACCGGAGATTCAGACAACAGCAGAAGCACATATTTTATTGTATTTAATTATTTGGTCCCACATATACTATTATTTTATTACTTTGAAAGGAAGTATAGTGTAATGCTTGGGTAGTTAGAAAATCCTGGGTTTGAATCCCAGTTGTCTCTCCTATAAACTTGGGCAGGTAATTTAACTTTGCTAAGCCTCAGTATCCTATCCTCAACTGCTCAATGGTGATAACAGTGGTCTCTGCATTGCAGGTTGGTTGTGAGGATTAAATAAGATAACATATCTAAAGCACTTAGCAAAGCACCTGGCCCCTCCCAAAAATATTACTAATACTACCACCAACACCACTGCCTATAACCACCATATCTGAATGAAGACCTCAAAGTTTAAGTTAGAAGCAAAGGACAGAAACAATGCAGTCTATTCTTAGTAGATACTCCCTTGAAACCACCCTGACCTAGGAACCCCATCAAATTGAAAATCATACTATTGTTTGATTTGTCATTTCTCTGTCTCTGGCATTGGCTCTCCTGAGAATGAAACCTTTTATCTGAGCGGCTGGTTTCCTCCTTATATACACACTGGCTGTTTTCTCTCAATTACCTGTTTTCCTGTCCACAGTGGGCAAGGCTTCAGGATGGCAGGAGGAAAGAGCTTCACGCGCCCCACTTTGTCTGTGAGTCCTCGGTACACCAGTTCCATATACTGCTCCCGGGTGAAAAAGCAACCTCGAATGGTCATGTTTGCACCCGAAACCATGTGATCTTGGATCAACCCTGCCAAAGGCTGGCCATCCTACAAAGCAAAACAGACAAGTGAAGAATGAAGATACATTTTAAGTCACATTGTAATTCCTAATCATCTGTTTGGAGGCTGCCTATTAGCAACAGCCTTGCCTTACAGCCCTGTCTGTACTGACCTTCCCCACGGCCTCAGCAGGCCAGTGCCTCGGCCTCTCATCTTGACAGCAAACTGCCTCCAAAAGCACATGCCCAGGGCTTTCTGACAGCCTTCCACCTTTGCCGTTTGCCCACAGTTCTATACCAAAACTGCTTCAAACCCATCCATTCCCCCAAGCCTTCTCTCCATAATCCCATCTGGTTCTAGTTGCTCCAGCATATTTTGGCATTTATGCATAAATTTGGCCTGGCTGCTATTAGCTATGTTCTTGTTTTTATATTTTGGTTTTATGCATTAGTATTTTTCACACATTTCTGGCCTGGTTCTCCTGTAAATTAGTCAACTATTCAACAAATAGTTACTGAGAGCCTACTGTGTTGCCTACGCACCGGGTTAAACCTTTAATCTACTTCAGTGGACCAAACAGACAATTTAGGATGAGGAGGAACCAGGCAGTAAATGAATGATTGGATAAATATATTGTCGCAAAGATTTTTAAACGCCATGGAGGAAAATAACAGAATGAATCATCATATAGTTTTGAGGTAGGGGGATGGTCATGAATGGTCTCGGGGGGGCAGTATGACAGCTAGGCCTGAGAAGTGACTTGCAGTCAGCCAGTGCAGGGAGGCAGGGGTTCAGGCAGAGGATCCTCCAGAGGGTCACGACAGAGCCATGACAAACTCGTATAGAAGGAAAGAACGTCCATCCTGAGTGTCTTTTCACAATGCAGCACATGCTTATGGCGGGCCCATAATAAAGGTCATTATCTACCAGATGCCCAAACAAGGGCTTTTATAAAAGCCCCAGTTTGGGTGTGTACATTTATCTCATTTGACATGTGTCTCAACCTTTCTGATCCTCAGTCTCCTGAACCTTATCTGTAGGTCTGTGTTCATGGCAACGTAAGGCACACTAAAGTAAAAATAGCTGTACTCCTGATGTTCTCCAAGAAGCAGTTTTTGCAAACTTTTCAACATTCATGGGAACTTAAGAAAAATGTGTGCCTCAGATCTAAAGATTGTTATCATTTGATTATTTGTTAAATAGTATCCCATATTATGGCCATGTTTCATAACACGGGCTAAAGGAAGTCACCAATGCAGCCATGGAGAAGCACCAGGAATTTAACTACACGTACTAATTCAAAAGCTAAAAGGAAACTTGTCAAACAGCCTAAATACTATGACAATGGCTTTATGTAAACTCAAAGCTAATTATTACAGATGGGCTGAATAGATTGTTATAGATGTAATAAGGGAAGGTCAGATGGAGCACACAGCCGTTCTTATGAAATCTTTGAGTTACTGACTTGAATAAAAAATTATACTTTGCATCTTGTTCCAAAGACATGGTCTTATTTTGCTTGGGGGAAAAACCCAAACCAGTATTATACATTTGACTCATCCTACAGTCTTTGGAGGCAGATATAAATTTTTCCTTTTGTTTTCTTCCTTTAAAGAACTTAATTACAAGTTATGTGATCTATTCCATGCCTTATCCTCGCTCTGTCCAGACAGCTACATGACTAGAAAATTACCTTAATAGCTAAATTGCTTTCAATGCAATAACCATGATTTGTAGGGAGGAATGCTGATTAAAGCAATTTACTAAGGGTCTACTTATAATTCTGAATTTTCTAAATCCTGCTTAGGATCAGAAAGACCATCTCTGAATCAAAAACACAGATAATTGTCAGCTATCCTATTCCATTTAATATCACAGCAAAATGACATTACGATCATTATATCTTTGGTCAGGACGCTTAGAGAATTAGAGTATTCTGTGACTTGAATCTTCTAGCTGAATAAGTAGAAGGCAGAAAACTATTCTCAAACCTTGTTAAAAAAATTTCCACAAAGCACTGGCATTCAATACATTCAAAAAACAGAAGAAAAAAAGTTAATCCACAAAGAAACACATAAATAAAGTTTAACTGTTTCCTGGAAAACAAATGAAGTTCCATTCATCTCCTATTTTAAGTAAGAAGACAATACCCAACTCCATTAAATATATACAACCAACAAAAAGAAGTACTTTAATTAGTACTATGGCTAGTTAAAGATACTACAGTTAAGAAAATATCTGAAAATAGAGAAGAAATGGAAAAATGAACGAAGAGAAATGGAAACAAAGGGAAAAAAAGATACACCCGGGGTTGGCTGAGTGGTTCAGTTGGTTAAGAGTTGGCTTAAGAGAGTGAGCTCTGAGCAACAGGGCTGCCGGTTTGATTCCCACATGGGCCAGTGACGCTGCACCCAAGTTGAGCTGTCGCTGAGCTGCCAACAGGTGGCAGGATGGCTCAGCTGGTGTTAACAACAAAATTGCCTGTTCGATGGTGGGCTACGCCCACCCGCAACTAAGACTGAACTTGGCACCTTGAGCTGAGCTGCCACCTAGATGGCTCAGTGGATAGAGCATGCGCTCTTAACAACAAGGCTGCTGGTTTGACTCACACATGGGATGGTGGCTACGCCCACCAGCAACTAAGATTGAACACAGCACCTTGAGCTTAGAGGCCATGAACTGCCGATGGGCAGCCAGATGGCGACTGGTGCCCTCCACAACGAAGACTGAAGAACAACAACTTGGCTGGCCTCCTTCCCCAATTCCCCAATAAAATCTTAAAAAAAAAAAGAAAACAAGATACACCAAAAAATGGCTTCCCTAGTTTAACAAAACCAGCTCTTGTCCTCTTAGGATGTTGCAACCAAAGTACTTCAAGACATGTTGCATTTTTATAACAGTCAGTAAAAATAAGGATTCCACCTCTTGGCATTTATACTAAGGAGTAAATGAAATGTATCAAGAATCAAAAGCTCTTTACCTAGGACAAAAGAAATCAACTAAAAATGAAGTGAACCCTCAGATCATCCCCTAAAAGTTTTTCACTTTTTATTTGTTAAGAAATTAATTTATTCAACCAACCATAAAGCTAGTATAGGGCTAAAAGACAAAAGTAGGAAGATCATGGGTAATTACAACAGTAAATTAAGGTGTACACACACACACACACACACACACACACACACACACACACACACAAAGTAAAAAATAATGATAATAACAAATGTGGAGTAAAAATTGTAGTGATTTTATATGTGTTCGAATGTGAGCAATCATCAACTTAAAACAAACTCCTATACACAAAGCTTGGCATATATGAAGCACATGGTAACCACAAACCAAAAATCTATAAGAAATACATAAGAAATAAAGAGAAAGGAAACTACTACACATAACACTGTAGAAAGTCATTAACACACAAGAGAGCAAGATAATAAGAAAGGAACAGAAAAGAACTACAAAACAATCAGAAAACAATTAATAAAATGGCAATAATTACATGCCGATCTATAATTACTTTAAATGTAACTGGACTAAATACTTCAATCAAAAGACACAGGCTGGCTGAATGGATAAAAAAAACAAAAACGTGTACATATGCTGCCTATAAGAGACCCACTTCAGATTGAAAGACACACATAGACTGAAAGTAAAGAGAAGGAAAAAGGTATTTCATGCAAATGGAAAGGAAAAAAGCTGGAGTAGCAATACTTATATCAGACAAAATACACTTTAAAACAAAGGCTGTAACGAGACAAAGAAAGGTATTTCATAATGATAATGGGTCAATCCAACAAGAGGCTATAACTCTTGTAAACAACTATATACCCAATGTAGAAGCACTTAAATATATAAAGCAAATACTGATGGACATAAAAGAAGAGATCAATAGTAATACAGTCACAGTAGGGACTTTAACACCCCACTGACATCAATGGATAGATCATCAAGGCAGAAAACCAACAAAAAATGGTGGCCTTAAATGACACATCAGACCAGATGGATTTAGTTGCTATTTTTTGAGCATTTCACCCCAAAGCAGCAACGTATGCATTCTTTTCAAGTGCACATGGAACATTTTTCCAGGAGAAACCATGTTAGTCCACAAAACAAGTATCAGTAAATTTAAGATTGAAATAATATCAAGCATGTTCTCCAAAAACAATTACAAGAGGAAAACTGAAAAACACACAAACACATGAAAGCTAAATAATATGCTACCCAACGATGAATGGGTTATCAATGACATCGAGGAAGAAATCAAAAGATATCTTGAGACAAATGAAAATGAAAACAACGACCCAAAATCTATGGGAACAGCCAAAGCAGTTCTAAAAAGGAAATTCATAGCAAAACAGGCCTACCCCACGAAACAAAAAATCTGAACTCAACAATCTAACCTTACACCTAAAAGAACCAGGAAACAAAGGCTAAAGTGAGTAAGGAAGGAAATAATAAAGATCAGATTGGAGATAAACAAAATAGAGTTAAAAAAAATAAATAATGAAACCAAGAGCTGGTTCCTTGAAAAGATATTGTACGCAGAATTGACAAACCTTTAGCCAGACTCATCAGGAAAATAAGAGAGGCCCCAAATAAATAAATTAAGAAATGAAAGAGAAGTGAGAACTAACCACTGAAATACAAAGGAATGTAAGAAAATACTTTGAACAATTATATGCCAACAAATTAGATAACCTGGAGAAAATGGATAACTTCCCAGAAATATATAAGCTTCCAAGAGTGAATTAGGAAGAAACAGAAAATCTGAACAGACCAATAACTACTAACAAAATAGAATCAGTAATCAAAAATCTCCCAACAAACCAAAGTCCTAGACCAGAGAGCTTCACAGGTGAATTTTACCAAATATTCAAAGAATTAATATCTATCCTTCTCAAACTACTCCAAAGAACTGAATAGGAGAGAAGGCTCCAAAACTCATTTACAAAGGCAGCATTACCCTTATTCCAACCAAAGATACTACAGAAAAGGATTATGGGCCAATATCCCTGATGAATATTGACACAAAAATCCTCAACAAAGTATCAGTGAACCGAATTCAGCAATACGTTAAAAAGATCATACACCATGATCAAGTGGGACTCATTCCTGGGATGCAAGGTTGGTTCAATATCTGCAAATCAGTAATGTGACACACCACATAAACAAAGTGAAAGATTAGAACAATATGATTCTGCAACTTTTAAAAAAATTTGATGCTCCAAGCTTTAAAAGCAATGTAAAATCCTGTACTAGAGAGGTTTTCTGAAACAGGTAATTAACCACACGTCTACACATTTTAATCTATCTTGAAGTGCAAAAGAAACTGGCAAATGACTCAGTAAAGAAAGAAGTGTTCTGTTAAAAAAAAAAACACCAAAAAACATTGACATTGAGTATCTTCTTAAATGCCTACTGGCCATGTATATGTCCTCTTTGGAGAAATGTCTATTCAGAGCCTTTACCCATGTTTTAATTGGATTGTCTTTTTAGTGTTAAGTTACATGAGTTTCTTATGTATTTTGGATATTAATCCCTTGTTGGATGTATCATTGGTGAATATCTTCTCCCATTCAGTAGGATGTCTTGTCGTTTTGTTGATAGTTTCCTTTGCTGTGAAAAATCTTTTTAGTTTGATGTAGTCCCATTTATTTTTTCTTTTGTTTCCCTTGCCTGAGAAGACATAGCCAAATATACAGAGGGTGCTAAAAAAATGTATACACATTTTAAGAAAGGACTGTATTAAAATTGTAATAATATATACCGATAACAAAAGATGAATACAAGTCATGCGCATACATTTTTTTGGCACCCCTGGCATATATACATATATATACACACACACTCATATCTATATCTATATCTATACCTATATATATCGTATATGTATATATATTACTAACAGCAAAGTCAGAGTTTACTGCCTATTTTTTCGTCTAGGCGTTTTATGGTTTCTGGTCTTACATTTAAGTCTTTAATCCATGTTGAGTTTATTCTTGTGTATGGTCCAAGAAAATGGTCTAGCTTAATTTTTTTTGTATGTATCTGTCCAGTTTTCCCAACACCATTTATTGAGTAGACTGTTTTTATATCATTGCATATTCTTGCCTCCTCTGCCATAAGCATGACATATAGGCCTAAGTTTATTTCTGGGTTCTCTGTTCTGTTCCACTGATCTACGTTTCTGTTTTTATGCCAGTACCATGTTATTTTGATTAATATAGCCTTATAGTATAGTTTGATATTAAGTAGCTTGATACCACCAAATTTGTTCTTCTTTCTGAAGATTGCTTTGGCTATTTGGGGGTCTCTTGTGGTTCCATATAATTTTAGGATTATTTGATCTAGTTCTGTGAATAATACCATTGGTATTTAAATAGGGATTGCATTGACTCTGTAGATTGCTTTGGGTAGTTTGGACATTTTAATGATGTTAATTCTTCTTATCCATGAGCACAGTGTATACTTCCATTTATTTTTATCTCCTTCAACTTCTTTTTTCAGTGTCTTATAACTTTCTGAGTTCAAGTCTTTTACCTCCTTGATTGAATTTATTCCTAGGTATTTTATTCTTTTTGATGCAATTATAAATGGTATTTTTATTTCTGTTTCTGATAGTTCATTATTGATGTATAAAAATGCAACCAATTTCTGAATATTAATCTTGTATCCTGCTGCTTTACTGAATTCATTTATCAGTTTGAATAGTTTTTTGATGGAATCTTCAGGGTTCTCTACATAGAGTCATGTCATCTGCAAATAATGAGTTTTACTTCTTCCTTTCAATTTGGATGTCTTTTACTTCATTGTCTTATCTGATCGCTGTGGCTAAGACTTCCAATACTATATTGAATAAAAGTGGTGAAAGTAGACATCCTTGTCTTGTTTCTAATCTTAAGGAAAACGCTTTTAGCTTTTTCCTGTTAAGTATGTTAGCAGTCAGTTTCTCATATGTGGCCTTTATTATGTTGAGCTATGCTCCCTCTATTTCCACTTTGCTGAGGGTTTTTATCATGAATGGATGTTGGATTGGATTTTGTCAAATGTTTTTTTCTGCATCTATTAATATGATCATTTTTTTTTAAAACAGAACACTTTTCTTTATTGAGTTATTTGCCAGTTTCTTTTGCACTTCAAAGTAGATTAAAATGTGTATACGTGTGGTTAATATCCTGTTTTAGAGAACCTCTCTAGTACAGTATTTTACATTGTTTTTAAAGCTTGGAGCATCAAATTTTTTTAAAAGTTGCAGGATCATATTGTTCTAATCTTTCACTTTGGCTCTTCCCCCACCTTCTCTGTTCCTCCCACGAGCACATGCTGACTTGGGCCCCTGCCACTTAATGGGAATGGGTCAGCTGGCCAGGCCAGGGGGAAGCTGCCATGACCCAAGTGGGTCTGCCTCAGAGGACTGACCTCAGAGACAGAAGGAAGAAATTCAAAGAGCAGAAGCCTTCATGGGCTGGAGGGAGGTCTCATCTGGGCCCTTGGAGTTAAGTTGTCTCTTAAAATTCATGCATATCAGAATTCAAAGGATCAAAGTCATCTGAGGACCATGGGGACCAACACAGTTGGGATGCTAATGTAATGCTTGCCAGAAGCTAATAAGCTACAGAATCCAAACATAAGTCTGGAAGACAAGACCTATTATGGAGCTAGTAAACTTGGCTTTTGGTGATGACTGCTTCAATTTCTCTTTAAGAGGCAGAAAAACAGAAACCTTCCCCTGGCTCTAAGCAACTAGAAGGCCAAAAACCCCACCTGGAACATGCCAGGACCCCGTGTTCCACATGCCCGTCCTGGAGCTGCCCACTGCCCTCAGGAGCTGGAGACGGCCCAGCTCTAAAGAGCCAAGTTGTGCCAGTGATGACCGTGGAACAGCCTCAAGGTCAGACCTACCTTGGGAACAAGGTACTGCTGATCCGTGCAGGCCAAGACGTAGGCCTCGGCCCGGCCCAGCTCACTCTGGGGGAAGTGGGCGTTCATCTCGTCTCCATCGAAGTCAGCGTTATAGGCCTTGCAGTTGGCATAGTGGAGCCGTAAGACTTTCTCTTCGGGTAGGATGCGGGCGTGATGTGCCTGGATGGATGGTCTGTGCAGGGTGGGCTGTCGGTTCAGTAGGAGGATGTCCCCGTTTTTCACATGCCGGCACACCTGGGGGTAGAGTGGGGAACAGACAGGTTACAGTGGCAACTTCAGCATCATGACTGCTATCCCAAGAGCCTGGCCTGACTGTGGCTTCTAACTGTCTCATGCTGTATTCAACTAAATGAAAAGGGAATTTTTAGTCTGGAGCAAAACTCTAGAAATCTTTGAGAAACAGCTACTAGCCCAGCATAGCCCTTATCCAGGCTCCGGGCCCAGAGGTACAAGCAGCAGACAAGGCTCCAGGCCTCTGTCCAGTAAACTCTGTCTACTTTGAAGATGTATGGCCTTTCCGGAGTCTTGAATTCCTCAGAGAATTAATCTGCAGAAAGAAATGGACAAATCTGAAGACAGCCTATTTGCATATAACCATAGAACCCTTGGAATCCCTCCCACGGTCACACTTGAGTATGTTATTGTAAGTATAAATTCCACATTTCATTATAGAAACACTTTGTCCAACCTCATAGAGCAGAGCCAGGACTGAAACACAGCGTTCTTGATTCCCAGTCCAGTGCCCTCTGAAAACATTTTATTACACTCAAAAATTTAATACATTTAAATTGCCATAGTCTCCTGGGAAAGCAATTTGACAAAAGGTTCTAGAACATTTAAAACTCACTTCCCTTTGGCCTTTCAGAAGAAAAAGAGTGCCAATGCAAGGGTATATGAATATTATGTTTCTGTAGCACTGTTCACAGTGACAAAAACTGAAAATAACCTGGCTGCCCCACAGAAGGGGCACAGGCAAATAAATCATGGTACAAACTATGGAATATTATGCAGTGATGAAAAAGGCTGAGTTACATCTATACTAGTCCTGAAGTGATGGCAATAATGTATTACATAAAAAAAAAAAAAATTTCAGGTGCCATCTAAGGTGATAGGATGAAGCAATTTAAAACCCAGGCCAACTCTGTACGTGTTTATATACACAAGGGAAAACGGTGCTTGGATCCTCACCAAGCTGTTACTCTGGACTCCTCTGGGGCAGGGGCACGTGGGGAAGGTAAGTAAGGTGCAGATTATCATTACGTTATTATTGTCACCTTTATACATCTTAGTATTGTTCATGTTACAATGAGCATGTATTTACTTACATAAAAAATTTTTTTTAAATCTTCAACTATTTTTAAAGAAAGCGAAAACTATTACATAAGTGATATGCTCATTGTGGGGGGAAAACAGAAAATATAGATGAATTTAAAGAGAATAAAAACCACAAGTAATTTTACTCCTTAAAGATAACCACCAGTCACGCTTTTTTTCCTCACTGATTTTCCACTGGTCATGTCCTCCTGACAGATCGCCTCCTCCCACAAAGCTGAAAGTCTATTTAAGCCTTTTACTGCCTTTTATCTTATGTTATGTTAACACCGGGCTTCTGAAATGATGAACATAAACACTATTTTAAAAAACAAAAGCATGAAGGCAGCTGCTCCCCCAGCTGCTCCCCTTAGCAGCGCAGGGGAATCATGGAGACTCGGTGAGACCTCCTTCTACCCCAAGCCTCCCCTAAATCCCAGCAGAGAACAGGCTGGGGGAACAACAAACTACTCCAAGGCTCGTGTCCTCTTATGTTGTCCACATTTATGAAGCTGCATCAGAAAATTGGAGAAAGAGAGAGACTAGAGGTTAATGAGAAGGTCCCCACCCCCCACCCCCCATTCCTACTCATCTGGGTTGAAAGTTTCCTCCAGCTCAGTGAAAGAGGGAGCAAACCCCTCAAGTTCTCAAAGGCAGTCCCAAAAGCACCTTGCGCAGAGTCAGTCTTTCTGCTCCCAAAGGAATTCAATCCTTCCCTTTCCTGTCCCCACATCCATGTTTCCAGGGAGACAGGGGCTCTGAGGATTTCCGTGAGCATCTGCCAAGAGCATGTTACCAAGTCTGAGCTGCCTTTCAAGGTCTTATTTCTTTAGACTCTCAAGGGAAAAACTGCTGGACCTGTGGCCCACGTCCCAAAGCCTAAGCTGGGCCTCAGATCTGAGCCTCACAAATCTGAGACACCCTCCAGCATAAGCAAACCCCACAGCTGGAAAGGCATGCAGGCCAGCCTGGCAGGCACCAGCCAACCCAAACAGAAGCCCTGGAGCACAGGGCACTCCCCTCGCCAACCCAAACCTAAGGCCCTTCCTTTCTCTTGTCTCTAAATAAATACTGCCGTGAAAATCAGCATGCCCATGCCCAGGTCACAGTTTTCAGAGGAAGCCCAGAGTCAAAATTGGCTCCTGGCAGACTGCTGGGCCGAAAAATGAGACTTGGCTGTCCTGGCCACTTCCTCGTCCATCTGAGAGGCCCAGGGGAACGGACAGAGACCTCACACCTCCAGGGAAACAGGTCCCTCCGTCATCCTGTCCCCTTCTTTCTTAACCCCTCTCTCTCATCCTCACCTGGCCTGGGCCTCCACCCAGCCCTTAGCCCAGTCCTGATCTATACACAATGCCATTAGCCAAAGTTTTTACAAATTACAAATAAGTTATAAGTACACCCATATTTGATGAAATGTATAATTGTAGATTATACATAACATAACTGAGGTTTTGGAGAATAAAGGTATCATCCTGAGTCCCACGTCCTGATGTAAGAACCACTTTTCTCTCATCAAGTCCCTTCCTGTCTTTGCCCCTGGGCCTCATCATCGGGTCCAACGTGGCTCATGCCCGAGCCTCCCGCACCTCGACCTGGATCCACCCACTCCATAAGCGTCCTGAGGGGTGAGAACACCCAGCTCTTGTCCCCGCGGGATCTAGGAACTCAAGAGCAGATGGATGCACACACAGTGACAATACAACACAGTGAGAGCCATGGGAGGATGGGGGCAGGCTGGGAACACAATGGGGGTGCATATAAGTTTTGAGAGGAACAAACCAACATTTGCAGACAAGCCACCTGTTTTTTGGGGGGATATAACCACACCCATTTGTTCATGTACCACCTGTGGTGGCTTTCACACCACAACAGCAGGGGTGAGTCGTTGCAACAGAGGCTGTATGGCCCACAAAACCTAAAATATTTACTGTCTGGCCCTCTGCTGGAGAAGTTTGTGGACCTCTGACCTAGAGGAATGAGGCCCTTGCTGAGGCATGAAGGAATTAGTTGGGGAGCCCAGGGGAGGGCAAAGTGTTCCCACAGGGGACAGCAAGCACAAGGCCTAAAGGGGAGAAGGAACGGGGCGGCATCACTGCTGGGATGGCTGGAACGCAAAGGGCGAGCTGAGAGGTGAGGCTGGCGGAGGAAGCAGGGACAACGCGCTCAGGGTCTGAACTGCAGCTGGAAGACAAGCAACCGAGCCGACCTCACACAACCTCACTGCTGCTCAGAACTCATTCTAGTCACTTACCAGGGACTGACCAACCCGGAGGCCAACCTTCCCTCCCTAAGCTCCCAATCCCACTCATCTCGGACCCTATAGCAATAACCAAGGCTACGTCAAGTTCTCGTGCAGGTGCCCATCCTCACACCCCAATGTCAGAAACCTCCAGAGCTTTCTATTTTTTCTTTAAAATGTTCTTAGCTACTGCCTTTGCTACCTCACAAAGGCTCTGACACCTGGCTCCTTCCTCTGTTCAAACCGCTTTCCTGCGTCACAAGCAACTTTCACTTGGACAAAAGGGATGCATCTTCCCTCAGTTTCCTCACTGTTCTTAAAATTCATTTTTAACTCCACAAACATCTAATAGGTGCTCCTGGGAGATACAAAGATACCCAGGGGCTGGCTGTGACCTGGAAGAACCCCTCGACCACATGTGAGGGGACAGACGCAGTCACCAAATGAGCAAGCCCAGCCGTCCGTCTCTTTTCCCTCAGCTTCCCAGTCTTCCCCTATTTTCTCTCTCCACTGTACTCTGGTGAAAGAGTTCAACACTCCAGTAATTTCACTTCCTAACACTGTGGCCCCCTAACCTAAGCCCCACATTTCTACCTTTTATGGAAGATGGGCCCTTAGGTTCTCCACTGTCGCCTCTTGATTTAGAGGGGCCCAGATGCACCTCTGTCCAGGACTCTTCCATCCTTCCGTTCTGGAAACCATGGCTTCCTTCTCACCTCGTCTCTCTTCTGCAGCCCTGACACCCCATCTATCACCAAGTCCCCCTGACGCTCCCTCTGAAACATCCCGTTTTCACCTTTGGCTCCCCTGTCACTGTCAGGCTGGCCCTCACCTGCCTCCTGATGACTTCACACCCTCCTACCCTGCACAATGCCCTCAAACTCCTTTCTTCTTAAGCATCATGTACGTGAAGTCACTGTCCTCCACTGCTATTCCCTATAGTGTCTGCACAGCACTCAGCAGTGGGTAACACATTGATGGTTTCATTCCCTGGTGGTGACACTGAACTGCAGAGCGCTGGGATCTTGTCCATAGTGACTGACAAAGTGCAGTATGTAGCAACTAGAGGGCCCTCACTCAGAAGTACGTGACCCCGTTCTGCTCTCCCCTCTCCATTTTTCTCAAATTTTCCTACTGAGACTGGTTCACATATTTGACTTGAGTTCACTGTTAAGTGAAAGACACCTTGACTCTCTCACAGCTGCTAACAAAACACCTGGCGCTTAAGGCAGGCAGAATAACCCATGAGCCTGAACACAAACCTTACTGAATGCACCAGGAAACAACAAACCAGGTGACTTGATCTGTTTCTGCACATGTCCCCTGCCACCAAAGCAGAAACTGCGTTCGTGCTCTACCTTAGGAGGGCTGCAAGACAGAGAGGAAGCAAGACGACAGGCTGCAGAGAAGGGCGATGGGAACGAACGGTCCCTACGACAAAGCCAAGAGCGCTTCCTTTTCCTCCCTGTTTCTCCTCCCAAGTTCGTTCACGGCTGAGGAGGTTTAGCAGAGCTCGGACCCACTGCTAAAGACCTGATCAGCCACTGGGTTTAGACATGTCAGAGGGCAAGCAGAGGTTTCACAAATGTGCAGACAGGTGAAGAAAATGCAGCCAGTCACCCCGATTCTGGGCCGTCACCCAGAAATTAAACCCAAATTGAACCCATTTAACTCCAGCTTCTGCCATGAACAACTGGTTAGGGGTCCTTTGCTGCCCTCTACCAGCATGAATGGCTATAATTTGACAAGGCTATAAATGATGTCACCCTCAGATTTCTCGCTCTCAGCTGTTATTGCTAATCAGTCACGTATTCTTGCCCATGGAGCCCAGATAAGGCTCAGGACCCCTTAACACAGTACTATGGGTGACCACTAGCTATTGCTTGAAATGAAGCGTCAGATGAAGTCTGTCAGTTATCAGCTATCCCTGCACAGAATAACTCCTTCCTTTGGGGCAGTTCTCAAACTTTAGCAAGCAGAGGGACACTCTGGAAAGCCTAGCCTGATAAAACAGAAATTCCTCGGACCCATTCCCAGAGATTCTAATTCAGTATGTGGTGGTGGTGGTGGTGGAGGGGTGATGTGTATTGCTCACAAGCTCCAGGAATGCTGTTGCTGCTGCTACTACTGATCTGAGGAACCGCCCTTTGAGTAGCTCTGGGCAAGGGCAGCAAATTCTCCTGCCCCAGGACAACTGAGTTGTTATTAAAGAGCCCTTCTCGAGCCCCTGATGTGTGCCCCGCACTGTGCTACACGGCATCAGATAGCCAAAGGAAGCTCTACTCATGGCATCTAGGCTCTAGAAGCCTCAGCTCCAGCTGGGGAGACAGTAAGTACCCCCAAGCTCCTAAGGAACATCCACGTGTGAGAGGCGCTGCATCTTGGAAAAGGCAGGAACTGCTCACACAACATTCTTACCATGGCACTCACCAGAGCCACAGCCAATGGGCTACACTCACTGATCAAACTGGCCCGCTACTCACAATTTTTGTGCCTTGGGGCTTTGGTGCCCCTGTGGCTGGTGTCAGGAGCTGTTTGGCTACGGCTTCCCGCTGGGTTAGGTCCACGGCACTCAAGGCCGTGCGACTGCCATCCTCGTTGATGACCATGGAAGCTCCCGGGTGCACATTGGGGCCGTTGATGACTGCTTGCCTCAGTTCCTGAACGTTCCAGGGGGTAACTGGCTGAGGGTAGGTAAGTTTTGTGGCAAACACCTGAAAACAAGGAGTAGACATGAAAACTCAGGGTGGGTAGAAAAAGGTTACATGGACCCAAAATCTGACTCAACAAGCTGCGTGACTTTTTCCTCAAGACGTGGAGGTGCAGTCTTAGCCACAAAGGTCCTCGGCGAGAAAAGCGACATCCTGCCTGTCTGTCTTCTCCACAGAGCTATTCTTCCATATTCAAGGCCTTAACGGAACAGAGACTGGGCCTCCTCTGCCAGCAATCTGTCTAAAGAAAATCATCTGGGGCCGACCGAGTGGCTCAGTTGGTTAAGAGTTGGCTTAAGAGTGCGAGCTTTGAGCAACAGGGCTGCTGATTCGATTCCCACATGGGCCAGTGATGCTGCACCCGAGCTGAGCTGTTGCTGAGCTGCCAACAGGTGGCAGGATGGCTCAGCTGGTGTAACAAGATTGCCTGTTCGATGGTGGGCTATGCCCACCCACAACTAAGACTGAACTCGGCACCTTGAGCTGAGCTGCCGCCCAGATGGCTCAGTGGATAGAGTGTGCGCTCTTAACAACAAGGCTGCTGGTTCGACTCCCACATGGGATGGTGGCTATGCCCACCTGCAACTAAGACTGAACTCAGCACCTTGAGCTTAGAGGCCACAAGCTGCTGACGGGAAGCCAGATGGCAACTGGTGCCGCACCTCCACAACGAAGACTGAAGAGCAACAACTTGGCTGGTCCCCTTCCCCAACTCCCCAATAAAATCTTAAAAAAAAACAAAAACATCTGAGTATCGCAGCTTACACATTAGAATTTTTTCAACTCATTCTAAAACTTCATTATTTCTTCATCTGCCAATAAATTCATGGGCTCTGAAGGGAACACAGAATGGGACACCAGCTTGAGAGGCGGCAGATGCCTGCCCTCAAGTACCACCACACCCCTCTCCACCCCAGCAGACATCACTAACTGCTCGTGGCTCTTGTCCCTAGCCCAGAGTGTCAGAATCTCTCTACTCAGCAGTTCCAGCAGCCGTTAGGGTCAAAGCAGCATGGGAGGTGAAATTGATTCAGCCTGATACACGAGAAAATGTAGCGCCCCACTGAGCACCAGACCTGCAATACAGACACTCCAAGAAAAACAAGTTCCCTGCCTAAGTGAGTTTCTGAGCTACTGAATGTTATAAACTCTGTGATGCCTCTCAATGCACACAACTACATCAGAGGCTCTGAGAAGTCCTGTGTAAAGAACCTTGAACTTTGTCCTGTTCTCTGCTCCAATGTCACTTTTTGAGAGGTCTTCCCCACCATCTCACCGTGTTCCTTTCCCTGCAGCCTGTTTTACTTTTGCTGATGCACTGACCACCGCCTGACAGTATTTCTGTTCTTGTGTATTTAGGTGTCTGTACTGCTGGAATGTAAGCTTCACGGGGGACACTCTAAGTGGCTCACTGCTGCGCCTCTAGCTTATTCCGCAAACTTCTTTCACCTCCTTTGCTCCCACAACACCGCTCCACAGGGCTCCAGGGGAAGGATGTGACACATGGGACCAAAAGGCAGTTTCACATGCTTGTTCTTCACGGCCATCCAGTGAGTAACAACCCGGGGCCACCATGGCCCTGAGACCTGGGCAGGTTGAAGATGGGCCGAGGGGTAACTTCAGAGTCCCCATTACCAGATGAACCCAGATTTAAGAAAGAGGCCTGGCACATCTAAAAGAGGGGGCAGCACTAAAAGTCTCTCCCAAAGTTGGGGACACTGTAGGCAGCATGAGGCCAAAACCAACAGGGGTAGCCCCTGCCCTCTGCCCAGGGAAAGCAACAAACAGGTCAGGGACCTCTCGTCTCAGGGCCTCAGGTTCAGGAATGTTCCCACTGGGCTTCACAATGCCTCTCCCTGCCACTTGACTCAGCTTCTGAATGCAAAGACCTGTGATTCCCAGGAGGTGGTGGGCACAGGACTGAGTGTTCTCTCTTAGCCCTCGTTCATCACGCCCTTGCCCAGGAAGCCCACGAGTGCCCGAGAGAGACGAGGCAGTATGCATGCAGGAGGCCATCAGAAGAGTGGAGCTCTGCTCAGTACCAGCACTCCCCCGAGAGCGGCAGAGGGGGCAGTGCGTGAGTAAATGAGGCTCTCCACAGAGGGAATTAAACCATCGTCATATTACTGACCGCAAGGCCCATTAAGGAGGAAGCCAAATAAAGGGCCGCTGCTAATGAGCAACACAGCTTGAAATGGTGGGGAGGTGAAAAAAGGAGGCTGGCTCCCTAAGGAGACATTAACGGGTGGATGGGGCAAACTGCTTACCCTGAGGAACTGGGAGGATGGACAACTCGCCCACACCTCCTCTCCGGGGGCTCTGGCCTCTCCCTCTCTCTGGCAACCAAGGGTACACATTCCTGACTCCTGACACCAGGCGAGTACATGGGATGGGAATCCCCTTTTCCCTCTGGCTCATCTCTTGTCATGTAGCCAATTTGACAAGGAAGGTTTAAAGAGTAGTGCAAGACAGGGAAAGGAAGACATGTGGGTGGG